CATCCTGCCTAGAGCAGAGGGGTCCTCATCTTGTGATTCTGGCTTTTATTTAGGTGTCAGGTGATTTATCCGAGGCTGACATCAGCAAGGAGGCTCGCCCCCCCCGGACTCCCACAGACACCACGGAGGAGAAACTGAGAAACAGATTGTATGAGTTAGCAATGAAAATGAGTGAAAAGGAGACTTCATCAGGGGAGGATCAGGAGTCCGAGCCCAAGACAGAATCTGAGAACCAGAAGGAAAGTCTGTCCTCTGAAGACAACAGCCAGAGTGTTCAGGAAGAGCTGAAGAAGGTAAGGGCTGTGAAACCGTCTGAGACAGCTCGAGCCTCTGCCGGTGGCATGTTGTGGAAAGGTTCTCTATTTGTGTGGAGATGTGCCGGGTCCCGAAGAGTTCTCTCTAAAATGCCCATCCCTCCTGGGGAGAGCCCAAGAGAACCCTTCTCGATCATGCTGTATGGTACAATCAGGAAATAGCACCGCATATCTTATGGAAGGCTCCAGACCTCTTGTCTCCTCCTGTCCTTTACCAAGGTAGCTCCCCACTTCATGTCTGTGATTTAATACCCCTGATCTGTCTCACTGGCAAAGAGCAGTGTTATTTCCCACCCCATTCCCTCCCTGAACAATTTTGCCCACAAATTGAGGTTATCTAGCCAATCTCTCTTTTAATCAATGATGAAGCTTTGTTCCATAGAGTCTTTATGTTCCAAGTAGTCTTCTGAATTGTTTAGCTCTGCAGTTTTCAGATGTTGGTTTGCTTGTTTTAGCCTCAGAATCCTTTTCTTATATGGAATCTCATTGTTTCAAACAGAAGCACTGCTGGGTCCCCAGACCCCCAACCCATCCTCCTCACTTTCCCCTGCCCCTACCTGTCCCTTGAGCTCAAGCAACACAGTTTGAAAACAATAGAAGATAGCCCCAATCCCTGGCAAAAAGGAATCCCACACACCCCATCACTGATCTGCCCATTGTCCTCTAGCGTGTGCCTGGGTTGTCTCTGCAGCTTCTGAAAGTACATTTATGCCAGACTTGCCAAGTTAGAGTCAGAATATCCCTACCTGCCTCCAATGGAAGGGGAAAAAATGAATGTTTATTGAGTGTCTCCTCTGTGCCTGGCACTGTATGTATGTCAGCTCATTAAGTAACCCTTTGAAATAGAGGCAGCCCATTTTTGCAGATGAGGAAACTGAAGCTAAGTCATTAAGACACTTAACTCCCACAGCTAGTAAGTTTCAGAGCTGAGGCTGCCTCACAAACCTGCTTGGCCTCAAATCACACACTCCTTCCTTTACAATAAGCTGCCTCTTCTGGAGTTCATATAAAGTTTTGTCTGCCAACATTTCAATTTCTTTGCACTTGTGGTAAACTCAGTATGAAAGATACTATTTCATCTTTGGAGCAATGATTCTGGTGGAGAAAGACCCATAAATGCTATATAAGCTAACCAGTTCGTGCATGGGTGAGTGAGCCCCCTTCATGTGCTCAGCAGCTGAGCTGAGGTACTGCAGAGCAGCCAGGCCAAAGGAAAGTGGGGCTGTCATCCATGAATGAACCCTTGAATCTTCGACACCCCAGACTCTGCCCTTCACTCATCCCAGTCCCACCCTCCACAACCATTGTGCCCTAACCCCATAAGCCTTTCTTTCCCCTGGCGTGTCTGTGGGTTGGAGCGTGCAGCTTGGTCTCCACAGGCAGCCCCACCTGGGATGTGGGCTCCAACAATAGTAAAGGGCTCTGATCCTCTCTGTTGCTTGAACCAACAATGCTGCATTGTAGGCACATTAGTATGCTAGAGCTGACAGCCAGATGGTAACTGAAGAATATCACATCATGTCTTACAATGGCTCTATGTCCTGCTGGATTTGCTGCCTCATGGTCCCAAGGCTTAGAAACTCATGCTGTCCCTGCGGCATGCCAAGCTGTGATGAGTCAGGCACTGCCACCCCTCATCGGCCTGCAGGCTGCAACCTTCTGGAGGCACAGACACCACCTACATATTTTCTCCTGAGCAGAATGTGAGCAGGGAAAGGAGGAGACCCTGGGAGAAATCCTGGGGACCTAGGCAAGCCCCCCATCCTACCCCATGCCCTCACTGAGCAGGAAATTAAGAGAGTTGACTTTATTCAGACTCTCAAATGCATCAGCCTCTCAAATTTCAAGTCTTGTCCCCCAACCTACCATGAATCAATGAATTAAATATTCAACCAGATTGTCTTTTTTTGCATTTATAACTCCATATAGCAAACAAAAAAGATAATATGTTTTCCACATCGGGCATGGACTACTCTGGTTAAAGGAAAACAGAAATGTAGGTTTACATATTGAATATTATTTTAAAACAGAAGAGTATAGAGATAGGTTTTAGAATTTGACTGAGTTTGAAACACAACCAGGCAGTGTGCAAACTCTGTGGACTTCAGTTAATGTCTTAATTTACTGCTACTCCCTGTGACAGTGTCATTTCTTGCCTGCTTACTGTACCCACCTCCTAACTGATCTCCTATCCCTCCAGGCCCTTCCTGCCCTCCTGCTACGACAAGTCCTGTTTCCACTCAGCAGCCCGAGCTGCCTTGCAGCCCTTGTGCTTGCTGGCAGCACGTCGACAGGCTCATGTCTGCCTTAGTTTTTAATTGAGCCCAAGGACCCAGCCCAGGTTTTCATTGTTGATTGAATGAATACATCTTGGCCTCATTTGTAAAATAGAGATAATCATATTCCTTTGTAGAATTGTGAGGATTGAATTATGTAGTGTAGGGTTTAGCACATAGCAGGAGCCCAGCAAATCTTAATTATTGTATCCCTTTGAACAATCTCAAGGAAAATAAACTTCACCGTCCTGAAATTTCCATCTGCTGGTACTGAAGGGACAGCATAGTGCCAATTCCAATCAACACTTGCAGTGTCAAACTGTAGTTCTGTAACCACATTTGGTGTTCCTTGATGCTATGCAGAATATAAGTAGGGAAAACAATGCACCAGCCCCCCAGGTTGTCATCTTCAGGATCAGAGTAACTTTGACGTCTTCATGATCCAACCACTACCAGATGGTCTCTCTCTCTCTCTCACACACACACACACACACACACGTGCACACAGCCCTTCACTGGGGAGTGGATCTGGATTAATGTGACTATTCCAGAGACTGCTGCTCCATCCCTCTCTCTCTTTCCCTTGGTGATGTACCAGCCCCAGTCAAAGGCATGAGGCCTTCTCAGAGCAGCAGGAGCTTCTCTCTCTCTGCAAAAGAGCAGGTGGAAGTACTGTGGAAATACCACTCCCAGGAGCAGCCCTAACCAGTGACTGATAGGAAGGGTATAAATATCTCAATTCCTTTTCTCCCCATTGTTGTAATAACTCTGAGGCATGAGGTATACATTGATTCCCCAAGTTCCCCATCAGATTTACCTCTGGCCACATGCATTGATAAACTGGCTTGATAAGACAGGCTTTACTGAGTCCCTTTCCATGTCTCACTTCTCTCTCCTCTGCCACTGTTGTCTGGGACTGCCTCCCAAATAAACCCCACTGTTGTCTGGGATTGCCTCCCACATAAACCATATGCACTCAAATCTTTGTTTCATGGTCAGCTTCTGGGAAGACAGTAACCAAACAGAAGAAAGTGTAGCATTCCCAAATCAGGGGTGCTCACTTCAGTATTGTGAATAAGCAATGAGAAAATCCAGACACCAAATGGGCTTTTGATTGCCCTTATCCCACCCAAAGAGGCTTTGCTCTGGACAAAGAGGGAGCTTGGCCAGTGCCTCTGCCACTGTCCCTGCTGTCAGAGCCACAGCTGAGCAAGGTGCATTCACTCATAGACACAGTGACAACAGCAGCAGTTCAGTCTTAGTATAACATCCCTTTTTGGACCCGGGCCTTCAGAATTCTGTCCAGCTGCAGTAGAACCATTTTAGAAACATACTTTTTCTTGATTGGATTCAGATCTTTGCTGGAGACAAAACTTATCCCTACAGTTGGATTAAATGTCTCCCTTGGACTGTGTGTGGGGATGATTTAACGATGGTCAATGCCAAATGAATTTTAACTGGCTGATGAATGAGCTTGGGACCAATCCAAAAACATCTTGGGAGCTAGATTCCCAAACGGTCTTATTTCTTCTTAAAGTAACAACTTGTTTCCACCAGACTTGTAGTCAGCCTTCCAAACCAGGCGGTCCCCAGAGCTGGGGAAGAAGCACTTATTTCTCCTCTACCACTGGGCAGGTGGCCATGCTCATGGTTCTGGAGAAAGGTACTGCCTGAAGTAGTTCTTTTTGCCTCTAGAGATTCAGATGCTACACGCCTAACACTCAAGAAGGGCCAAGGACTCCTGGCCTGACTCTGGAGACTACATGCAGGGACCATGTCTCCCACAAACCCCCTAGTCCCTCTAGGCCCAGACTAGCAATTCCCAATACCCCTTCTAGCTCCAAAATTCCAAGGTTCTCTATATGTGATGGGTTAAATAGGTTTTTCTTTCCTAACATTAATGCCTTTTACATTGCTTTTCATGTGACAAAAAATGTCCTATGTGTCAAACTTTTGGAACATGAGTCTTTGTTGAGGGCCCAAATTAGCAAATTCGTGCATTGTAGTCCGATTTGTTACGGTGTCCTTTAAAGCAGCTTTATTTAAAGCAGGAGTGTCCAACCTGCCACCTGTCAACAGCGTGCTGATTTTGTGAGGCCTTTTTTTTTGCTTCTCTGTGCTGTTGGATATCACAAAAAGTATGCACAGCCTTTCTTTTTTTTGCCAATCAGCTTTTGTTAGTAATTGTGTATTAATGTGTGGCCCACCACAACTCTTATTCTTCCGATGATTTGCAGAGAAAAAAAGAAATTGAACATCCTAAAAGTGTCTTTGTTAATGATCATGAGGAACTGAACCATTGTGCTGTGTTTTTACGGCACAGTCACTGACCAGCAAACGTCACCCCAGTTTACAGTTTCATAAATGATTCTCGTCAAAATCATTGGGACTGCTCTAAACTAATAAATGTTTTTTCCCCCCTCAAACAAATTAATTAATGCATCTTTCGATGGCTGCTACCCAATTCCTTAAGTCAAGCCATATGGAAACATGATCCTCATCAGTGGTGAGGGAGACAGATTTATTGACTGTTGTCTGAGAAAACCCAGAGCCTTGGGCTTCTCAAGTTCTATGTGCTTGTGAAAAAATTGTTGTTGATGTCACAGCGTTAATATAAAATCAAGTGTTGTTGTCCACATTTGTCTCGCCCTTGTCACATAACTCGCCATTCACATGAGGTTATAGTGCCTTTCATCTCAGAGC